AAGGCCTGCTTGTAAAGGCTGCAGAGGTGTAGTGCCAGTTCCAGGCTTAATCCCATGGGGAAAGATTCCCCTTGAAATGAAACTTTTAATGACTGCTGCTGGGTGCGATGTCTCACAAAGAAGTGCCAGTTCTCCCAGGGAGCCACCACCACTGCCCTTCATGGCTCCTCTGCCCATAGGAGTTAGATCCAAACATGGACCGGATGGAGACATACAAAGCCTACTCCAAAGGGTATAGCCTGTATACCCAAAGGATTGTAGGACCGCATCAGTTTGTATCAGTAGGAATCAGAAGCACTGTAAGTGTGGAGTCTATGGATGTTACTTGATTGGACAAAAATGACTGATATGCATATGCCCACAAAAGTTACAGAATTTAATGTGCTGGTATAAGCACCTAGGGGTGACTTTAATCAATGAGGTTGGCTAATTGTAGGCTAGAGACATTGGTGGCCTGTTATCAAAAAAGTGTTACAGCTGGAATTTACCTGGTATACTGCAAAAGAAGGAGTTAAAAGGCCCAGACAGATAGCAATACTGAATTCATTTAATACCACAAACTGCTCAGCTATTCCTCTGACCATACCTGTCAGGAGCGCCAGGAGCACTTTCCCAACAGCACATTGTTTTTTACATGCCTTAGGTGAAGGGTTACTAATTGTCACTCTTGTGGTCTGGAGATCATGGTTGGGATGCTCTTTCCTTAACTAAATAAATCCCAACTTTGGGCTTTGTTGATTTCAGTAATAGCTAAGCATTAATACTCTGAATGGCAGAATTAAAGAGCGAAGAATAAACCCCACTTCCAATATCCCAACATCCTGGTAATACTTATTCTCATTTGACATAAGGTTATGGATCTAAAACCTTAGAAATAAAAAATATGTTTTTTAAAATTTATTTTAAACAATTTGGTGATTTTTTTCTTGTCTCCTTTAAGTCTAAGTTATAGTAATTAAAAATTTTGTTTGTCATTGGCTTCTTAGCCCTTAAGACTTTTATTAAAAAGGAAGTCCAATTTGTAAAACTCATATTGTGTGTGTGCATATTCATATAAATTTCATATATATGTATACTTCAACTGAAGCTAAAAGAGGGATATAGATAACAGCGTGTGGAAAAGGTCAAGAAGAGTTTCTTTTGAAGGCTCTGAAGAGCCTGATTGGAAATCCACTGGTCAACTGGTCAAGGTGATTGGCTTATTACTTTTAGAATTGTCCTTACCCTTTCTAAAAGAAAGATGATAAGTTATTGCTATCAGAGGTACTATGTCCTTCAAAAACTCGTAAATAATATTTAGTAGCTCAGTAATTGTTTCAGCCAATTCCTTAAGAAGCTTGGGAGGTGTGTTATTAGGATCTGATAATTGGATGGAATCCAGTTTTTAAAGTAATGTTTGATATGAAGCTGTCCTGCTTTTACCATCCTATCACATATCTAGTTATTGACAGGTATAGGAAATTAAAGGAAGGTTGCTTTTGTTTTATTAGTCTCATCGGTAGATTTTTTTGTCTTTTGCTATAGGCCTAGTAAAATGAAAGTGAATTTTCAAGTTTATTTCTCAGGATTCCCAAGACGAGAATATGCATCAAATAAAATACTTCATAATGTGATATTATGAATGAGATTAATGAAATTTATATGTCAGTGATGGTTTTCTTATGACAAGATTTTAATTCACAGGAAAATCCTCACCAGCTTGCTTGAAATCAAGTTTTCAGAGTTTAACCTAATAGCAATAATAAAAATGATGACTAATATTTGTGGAGCATTATGTACCAAGCCCTATGGGATAAGTACTTTATATGGATGATCTCATTGAAGTCTCAGATCAAATCGCTATGTGATATCACATTCAGTTTCACAAATGAGAGAACCAGACTTAGAGAAATTAGGTAAATTTCCCATGGCCATAAACATGGTACAAGTGGCTAAGACAGGCCATGTTTAAATCCATAGTCTGTACCAAACCGTCTCCCTATTGATGGTGCTTCTCTCTAATTGTGATGGTGAGGACAGCAGGACTTGGCAGTTAATTTGAGAGAAATCTGGCAGTTAATATTCTGAAAGAAGTAGAAAATACATGAAAGGAAATTTAGAAGCCAACCAATAAAACCATCATATTTTATTGATAAAGAACATGAGGCATAAATAATATAATGCTGCACCCATGTTGCCTGGATATACCTCTTACAAATTAAGGGAATTTAGGCCCCTCAATTTCTGTTTTCTCATCTATATAATGGGAATGATAATAATAGAACCTACCTCAAAGAATCACTCTAAAATTCGTTACATTCTTGTAGTTATATATCTAGTTTTCCCTCTTTCTAAAGTGTAAGAACAAGAGAATTCAGGAAGTGTAAGTGTTAAAAAGGATAACTAAATAAACTGTTACCTACATGCATCACTTTGTATTCTAATTCTCAGAAATGTTAGAATAAAGAATAAGGAAGCATCTGGCCAGGAGCATACATAGTAAAATGAATTTAGATTCAAACTGTTAGCAGGGGTAAAAGTTTTATATTTTCTTTTCTTTTGGTTTCTTGGGGCTAATTTGTAGACAAGAGGAGGCTTAGTATCTCTATGAGGATATAACACTTTAAAAGTAGCAGAAAACCCAAACAACATTCCACTTCTCCAAACTATACAGTTACAATCTTGGTTAACAAGGAATGCAGAGTAGGCAGTTCTTGGCATTGGTTTATCTATGTAATAGTGCCAGGGTTGCTATCTCTGAAATTATATTGGCCTTCCTTTCTTGGTCTCAAGATGGTTACTGCAGGTCCAGAAATCATGGACGCAATTAAAGCATGAAAAGGGGCGGAAGGAATAGAATCAGCCTCCTCTGTCCCTTTTATTAGGAAATGCAAAAGCCTTCCAAAAAGGCTTCCCAGGACACTTATCCCAATATATTATTTGCCAACACCAAGGCCGTTATGTTTCCAACTGGCCTTCCAGTGTAGGCAGGTAATGAAAGGTAAAGAATAGACTAGTCAACAGTATTATTCAAATTTATGATTATCATATGTTGACCACATTTTTATATTAGCTGGGATATATATTAATGGAGATGGGGAAATTGCCACTTATATCTGCCACTTACAGAGTATTAAGCTGTAGTATATATGTTAGGAACTTTATGGTCATTATTTAATACTCAAAATACCGTTGAGAAAATGGATGAATAAACTGAGATTCAGAAAGGTGAATTCTATTGCAAACATCTTATACATAATATTCTTTGAAACTGGGTTTGACTGACTTGAAAGTTTGTGCTTACAATTGGAACATAAAAAAATGAAACTACCTTTTTCAGGTTTACTTAGTTGAAATCTGGGACTGGGGTTGGTATCTAAATCTAAATAATTTGCTCCCAACTACTAAAACAGATTACCGTTTGCCATCTATATTTAGGAGAGTGTTGTCTAACCTCCCATCATCACAGGTGATGATTCTAGAATGAGCACAGAATAAACTCTCCAGGCAGGTGTTGGAAATGTACACTTGGGTTTTTCCTCATTTATCAGTTAAAAATGTCCGGATAAAGTCCCAGGCAAGAAAGTTTCTGAAGGAAAGGAAGTATATGTAAGGTTAGGGATGTCTGGCATAGATACTCTATTTTGCCTGATGATCTGGAAGAGTGTGAGGTTGGAAAAGATGGTTAAACTGAGGAAGTTCCTTAGAAGCAATTTATTCTACCCCTCTGATTACAGTGCCATATATTCTCTATTTAAACTCTTTTTAATACAAATAAGACAATAGAAAAAACAAAAACAAAAACAAAAAAACACAACACCTTAAGATCAGTATTTCTTTTTATTTTTTTAAGATTTTATTTATTTATTTGACAGAGAGAGAGAGAACGAGCATAAGCAGAGGGAGTGGGAGAAGCAGGCTCCCCTCCAGGCAGGGAGCCCAATGCAGGGCTTGATCCCAGTACCCTGAGATCACGACCTGAGCCAAAGGCAGCAGCTTAACCGACTGAGCCACCCAGGCACCCCAAGATCAGTATTTCTTCACAATTTAGTAATAGCTTTAAAATGATCTTCAGTGTGTTAGAAAATTCCAGAACCATCACCTTTATGGAAGTGGAAAAAAGACAAGTATAAGGCATTGTCTTTGTTAACTATGAGATGTTAATATATACTTAGCAGGGGGCTTATAATGGTCATGTGGGGGTGGAAGGATGAGAATTATTTTTTCCCCACATAGGTTCTCTTTGAAGAGACTTTAAAAGCTTATATCCCTTTAAAGGTAATAATGAAGGGTTTCAGAAAGACGTTTCAGCACAGTTCATTGAGCAGAGTAAAAACATTTGCCCTGTGGATATCAAATACCTAGGGAGAAAAGCACCTACAATAACTGATGGCAACTACCAAAGGAAAAAAAAAATTAAAAACAGATGTGAGATTTCATTGCTAGCATAACTATGATGACTTTATAAAATGAATTTTGTGCCTCAGATGTCTGGTCTGAACATCTGAATAATCATATTTCTCAAGATGTCTATCAGCGGATCTGTTCATTATTCATTTGGTCCGTGCTTATGGATGAACCTGTACCCTCTAATGATCAGGAAAAGTGACTTTATGCTAATCCCAAAGAGGGGGTAATTAGGCATTTCAAGTCCCTTTGGTTCCTGTCAGTTTAATAACCACTCCTTTTTATAACTTGAAACTATAAATACATAATATTATATTGTAATTTGTAACATGGTTCTATGTCATCTTTTTCCTTCTTGCTGTAAGACAAAGGCATACATATTGAATCTCTGTGTTTTTCAGAATAATTCAAATATTTAAAATTTTATTCTGAGCTTCTAGTAATAATACTTTTAATAAAGGCATGACTTCTTTATTCTAATGATAATAATTACAAATAATAGTCATAACTAACACTTACTGAGTTATTGCTAAATGCTAGTTTCTCTAAATATTTCATAAGCCTAATCTCTTTTCTAAACAACTTAATGGAATATGTGCACTTATTTTTTCTCTTGAGCTGAGATCAAGTGTAAAAACCTTCATAGTTGTAAATGTCAGTAGTAAAACCTTTCCATCATTGCTCAGAACTGATTAGTCTTTCATATACACACATATCTTCTCCACCTTCACCCCAACCTCATTCAAGTCATCAGTTACACACTCACCTTTGCACACACACACACACACAACTCCAGACATAAGCCTTTATTGTTCTAAATTACTTTTACTTCTCAGAACTACGGAGATCATGCATCAGGTAGACTGGAAGGTCTTCTGATGCTCAAATTTGGCTATTTTCATCATTAATCCACTTCAGTAAGAGCAGATCTCAGAGAGCACTTATTATTTTTATTTCACAGATGAGAAAATGATCCCCAGAGAGATATATAACCTATCCAAGGTCACATAGCTTATAAATGGAAAACTTATGAGTCTAGAGCCTCAACATATAAGACAATGATGGAGAAATTTAGATTGTATAGCTATCAAATTTAAAACTCTTATTTTAAAATTGTAAAGCTACATTGAGTTATAACATATTCCTGTTGGGAAACTGGAAAGAATTATGCACATTGTTCCTCACAGTTCGTAGCAATGCCTTTTGTGTATCTGATACTCCAGTGAATGTTTGATGAACAAATAAATGAATCAATAATAAAATACAGAGGAAAAGCTAATGCCTTGGTAATTTAGAATAACTATTTCTTTGTTATCATCAAGCATATTCACAGTATTGAAGTGTGGATATTTGTTGATACTACACAGTATGATATCAGTGTTTCTCATTGTTGACTATATATGGATCATCTGTGTTCCATGTTAATTTTTCTATTGAAAATGTGTAATGTGTTTTGTATCACCTTTATCTGGATTTACCCCAGTTGACTGAGATACTTGTAAAGAGACACAGGATCAAAGCTTTTAGCTGGTAGGAGTTTAGACTGAATTGCCCCAAAGATGTGCCACTTTGGCATGCAGATTATTTGAGTTTAAAACAATCAAGGCCCCAAAACTTTTACTTCTCCCCTAATTGCCTAAAGGAAGTTAGATAGAGGACCTGCTCCAGAAATAGAGCTATCACCAACTATATTATAACATGAACTAGAGGTAGTAGATGGTAGTAGATGAGGAGGAATTTAGCTTAGAGTCTGTTGAAATTCCTTTGTATGTCTCATTGTTTCTGTATGGCCCAGCAAACATTTATTTACCAAACATTACTCTTTTTCATCTCTTGTGACTGCCTTTCCTTCCTTTTGAAGTCCCACACCTCTACCTCTTTATTCTTAGTTCAGGATGGTGTATATACCTCATTTTACTTGGCTATCTTTAAACCTTTCATCTATGGGATTCCTACATGTCCAAAGTTAAAATTGATTTTCTCCTGTTAATCTGTCTCATGTCAGTTTAACTCTTAGACCAACCAGAAGAATTTTGAAGGGTAGAGAAAACTTCCTCCCCAACAAGCTTATTGAATAGAAGCAAAACAAGCATTCATGTGGCTTCAGGATAACTCCTCACGGTGTCAGGTTTCTCTATTCGCTTGCTGTCCAGAAAAACAGCTTTGTGAAACTGCTCCTCATACAAATTTTCTTGCTTCAGGAAATCAGATCATGGTCCCAATCTGACAGTGTGGCTTTCACACAAATTTTGGGCTATTCTTGGCAGTGCTCCTGTGTTGTGAAGATAATTGAGAATTGACTAAAATATATACATTTTCCTTTAGGGTAATCAATAGAAATATGGCTGTAAAGAAAATTAAGTTGCTTTCTCCTTGAGGTTTAAAGAAATTGAATTTATAAAACTTTAATATATAGTATCAAATTCTTTGGGAAAAAAATAAGAGTACAACACTGATTACATCATTTCACTTCATGTGTTCCTCATTGTCTAAAGTCTAAACAACTTAGCTTGATATTCTTGATATTCAAGTCTTCCAAGCCCTAGCTCCATCATTATTGTCATCCTTTTTTTTTTTTTTAAAGATTTTATTTATTTATTTGACAGAGAGAGACACAGCGAGAGAGAGAACACAAGCAGGGTGAGTGGGAGAGGGAGAAGCAGGCTCCCCGCTGAGCAGAGCCCGATGCGGGGCTTGATCCCAGGACCCTGGGACCATGACCTGAGCCGAAGGCAGATGCTTAATGACTGAGCCACCCAGGTGCCCCAACATTATTGTCATCCTTAAATCAAACTTCTTACACATATAGCTAGCAAGGCCAAATTGGACTATACTATTTTCCTGGACATTCACTGTTTTCAATTCTTCCTTTCTGTAGGCATTCTCTGACCACTCTACTGAAAATATCCTTTATTATTTTTTATTTCCTTGCTGTCTTTTTTCTTCTTGACCCTGCTTTGTTTTTTTTTTCCCCATAGCACTGAGATTATATTACATATTTGATTAAATTTGCCTTATAACACCTAGAAGACTGCTCAATCAGTATTTGTTGAATGAATGATTTTCTAAACCACCAAGTAACTTCAATTCTCCATATTGAAAAAAAAAAGCTTATTTTTCAGGAGCTTTAGAGTGGTATGGTGGGTCAGTTTGTACTTAGCAGGCTTAGCAGTTTAAGCAAGGTTTTTTGTTTTTTTATTTTTATTTTTTTCAATTTTATTCAGAAATTACCATGTCCTTTAAGGAAACCTACCACCAGTTTTAACAAATTGACCACCATCAATTCCAAGAAGTTTTATGTAGTTTTTTGTACCTAACAAGGATTTTTGGTCACTTACTGCCATGCTCTCAAAGAAAGCCAGTTGTGACTTGAATGCGAATGAAACTCCTGATCTGATATTATTTACATTGTGTTTTTATTTTGTCCATCAATGGTGGCATGTGATGACCAAGTAGCATTATGTACCAGTGGGAAGTTGTAGAAGATCTATTGATAGAGTAGCCAAGAGACTTTTTATCTATTTGGGATGTAGGTGAAGTGCTTCCTTGAAACTGAATTAAGCCACTTAGAGATGAGCATTATTTTTTCTAAATTAAAAAAAAAATTAAATCCTACAAAAAGTTAAAAGAATAGTATAATGGGTACACATATAGCTTTCCCTTAGAAGTTCTAATTTTTATCATCTTGTCACATTTGCTCGAAATTTGTCACATTTGCTCTAATTTCTATCAATATATGCATTTTAAATTTATACATTTTTTTGCTGAGATATTTGAAATTAAGTTGCAAACATAAAGATATTTTGCTCTAAATACTTCAACATGTGTTTCATAAGAACAAGGACTTCTTTTTATATGAACACTATCACTTTCATATCTAGAAAATTGCTTATTAACACAATTATAATATCTAATATGCAATTTCATTCAAATTTCTCCATTTGTCCCAGCCATGTGTGTTCCTTTTAATTATGAGAATGTGGCTTTTATTATTTGTTTGTTTGCATCAAATCAAGGATCTCAATTTGCATTTAGTTGTCATGTCTCCTTAGTCTCGCTTAATCTATAGCTGTTCCTTTGCCTCTTTTCTTTTCCCTGTTTTTATTTTGCTTTGTTTTTTCCTTTTACAAACTTGACAAGTTTGTCAAATACAGGGCAATTGTTTTGTGAAATATTCTACCATCTGAACTTGTTTTCTCATGACTACCTTCAGGTTAAATTTTTTTCTGCACATAGCCATAGGTGGTATTGCATACTTTCCATTGCATCATATCAGAAAATACATAATGCTAATTTGACCCAATACTGCTGATGCTTACTTTGATCCCTTGGTTAAGATACTTTCACTATTGTAAAAATACCTTTTCCCCCTTTGTAATCATATATAATATGTAAAGTGAAACTGAAAATGTGGGGATCCTTTCATCCTATGGTTTTTAGCATCATTTGGTGATTCTTACATAAATCAATTCTTACACTGTTGTTTGCAAATTGATGATTTTCTTATTTTATCATTCCTTCTACACAAAATAGCCAGCTTTCTTTTGTTACAGAGGTTTTTTTTCTCTCCCTCCCCCATACACTTTCTTTTAAATTTTTTAATTTTAAGTAGGCTCCATGCCCTGCATGGAGCCCAGTGTAGGGCTCGAACTCATGACCCCAAGATCAAGACCTGAGCTGAGATCAAGAGTTGGACGCTTAATGAACTGAGCCACCCAGGCACCACTTGACTCTTTTTTAAAATGCAATGTTATAATTTACTTCCTTCAGAAATAAATGTTCCAGTTGTCCCAAATTTGGCCAGCTGGATCTTTGAAGCTATTCCCTATGTTTTTTTGTTAGGTCCCCATTAATCATTGAGTATTTTCTTGCTTTCTGACACTATAAGAACATTTAGCTTCACCAGTGATTTTCCTTGCCTCAGCCATTTCTCCAAGGCACTCTAGTTCCTTTATGTGGAGAATGGTATTTAGAAACCAAGATCTTGGCACTAGATGAACACAATAATGTGAGGGTGGGCATGAGCAATTTTCACTTCTATTATATACAGTTTAGTTTCATTCTTCTTACTCTTGTTCCCACTTGTTTAATTTTGGATTTCATACAATAATAGCTTTTCTTCTCTTGTATTTTCTTCAGCTATTTAACTTCAAATGCTGCTACCTAAAATTCTCTACGATTCCTAAGGATTGGCAGAGGATGAGATTCTTTCTTCATCTGACAGCGTGAAAACTCTAAAATTCTGCACTCATTCAAATCTTTCTCAGTCACCTCGGTTTGTCTTTCATCTGATTTTTTACAGATGTTCTAAAGTTCCCAAAATAAATAGGGATATTCAGTGAACCACAATATCTGAAAGATAAAGCAACTGCTTACCTGTTCGCTTTGCCATCTGCTCTGTTTTGGATTGGATAAGTACATATTCAGTCCCCCCAAACAGCATGCATGTCTCAAATTCCCACAGTGACTGGCTTCAGTTCCACCTGGTTGATTCTTGTTATTTCATTACAACTGTTCAGATTTATAAACCCAGCAATTAAAAAAAACTTAGACATATTAATACCTATGTTGCCCTTAACTACAATTACTCAAAAAAAGTGCAATAGGTTTTACAAGACATTGTTTCATTGAAGGGACTATTATTATTTTAATGGAACATATTATACATGCATATTATTTTAAAA